CCTCTCCTGCAGGACCCCAGTGTAGGAGCCAAGAGACGCAGACCCAAGGATGCAACACGGCCCTCTGCCCAGGTACATGTGCGCTTAAAAAGAGAACAAAGTGTTAAGGGTTCAATATTGAGGAGGAGAGTAAAAACAACCACGGTCCGGAAGAGCTTGGTCACGCGTGGGGAGACCACCGCTGTACGCAGACAGCACTGATCTCCGACTAACAAAGCATAAGCAGATGTTTTATACCATCAGGGTTTAAATTTAATGACGCCCCTTCAACGTCAAACAGATACACTTCATACATAGGTTTCAAAACCACAATGACTGTTAACACAGTTTAAAAAGAACATTGTCTCCGCCTCCACGGCAGCTGCTTCCTGTCAACCTTCTGACCCTCGCTTCTCCAAAACCTCAGGCCATGCTCTGCAACAAACTAGCAATTCTGCACGCACAAAAATGCAACGACAAGCAAATATCTGAACTCTCACCTAGAACATAAGCCTACCTACCGTGTATGCAGGTGTGGGTGTCCTGACCTCACTTGGCACTCTGTGTCACCTCTCACCTCACCCCCAACGCTCACAGTCAAACAGAGGCCACCCTCAAATGTATTAGCAATTGTTAGCAGTTTACTAAAACTATAATGCTGTAAACGAATGCCCCTACTTCAAAGCTTAATAAAAAGGATATAAATGAATAAAAGATAACAATGAATAACCTGGTTATTCAAATGGCATCCTCCCAACAGCTCCTCAAAGTAACTTTCACTTTCACAAGCACGCTCCGCAAAAGCCTGCAGTTTCCTGTCTGCTTTGGCACAGAGTGTACTCAGAGTTAGGCCTTTCTTTTATAACGCAACAGAATCAGCACGTACACATTTAAGATTATAACAAGCATTCAAAAGCATTTAAGATTATTGATTTAACTCAACAGTTTAACGTGGTTATAACTGCACCTGTAATAAAGGCTAATATGATAACAGTATGCATAAACATTTTAAGGCCATCTTAAAGCTATCTGTTACATTGTTAAGGCAATGATTATACTGCAGATTATATATATACATATACTGATAAAATACTTTTGTTCAATCCCACAAAAGCCAACAGGCTTTAAACATCAGACCAGACGGATCCAGATACGTTTCAAAGATAACATTAGTTACATAATTTGTTGATATATATGTGAGATGACTACAAAAGCCCCTAAAAATAAAGTTTTGGTGCACGCAGTGAAAATGTTTTCCTCAGAGGCTTCGAAGCTGAGCCGGACAGAGAGGATCATGTTGTTGTGTCAGCGTGGTTTGTTAGAAACACATTTGTGTGTTTGAATTTTAGTGTTTTCA